GTGCTAAGAAAAGGATGAGAGTGTGAAGATCTTGCACCTAATCTCCTTGTCGTATATGCTTGTAGTAATCCAAATGATGTCAAGAGAATGACACCGATGATAAGTTAATGTATCAGGCTCGACTTCCCTTTCAACCTCAATATGCAAAACATCCCTTTAAGAAGTCCACCCAGCTGTAGCCTCCACTAGAAACAGAAACCTGCAGATGTTTATAGGAATATCAATTAAGCTGGATGGGAGCTCTGCCATTAATGCTGGTGCATGTAAGATTGGACTTTGCAGATCTGTCTGAACTCCACGCAGATGCTGAAGTGCACGTTTTCTCCAGGGTATTGAGGCAGTGGGTTATATGCCATTAACAGGTAAGCATAATATGGATGGTATTTCCATAGTCTCATGCCTCTGGCACAGGGACAAGGGCAGCATCCCCAGGCAGCACCCTTGCCCACAGTGGGAGGACCGAGCAACCAGGAAATGCAGRGAGTGCATGGACCTCCAACACAGAAAAGATCAGGATCTACAGCCTGCCCTGATTCAGGTAGTTTGGGCTGCCTGCAYTCCAAACAGGGAGCTGTCATTCCCTGTGTCCTGGGCACTTAATTCAATCCTTGGGTTACACCACAAACTAAACAGCTGACAAATATAGAAAACTGCATTGGATGAGACAAGCCCCTCTAAGGAGGACTGGCACCGAGTTTCCAACAAATACAGAATAAGGTGGAGGTATGACTTGTTTCATGGCCCTGTTCATCCCTGTAAACATGCAAAATTTGCATGTCAAATAGGGAGATGGAAATAAATTCACTCATTCTACTCTTTTTTTTCCCCCCCGTTTTCTTGGAATCAAAGAATGAAAATTCACAGGAGGGGAAATACTGGCTTGCCCCTCTTTGGCCTCCAGTGCTATTTTATCCATTACWAAGGAAGMCAAGRAGGAGGAGGAGAGAGGAYTGGACATGMGTGCCTACTGCCCATGCAGCCCCAGCTAGATAGCATCAACAGTTGTTCTCCTATTTTCACAGTGGGAAATAAGCAGGTACTAGCTGTATTGGAATAATCAGGAGGAATCTAGGTCAAAATCAAAGCAAGACTGCTCTGTCCATTTGACAAAACTCACATGCAAACACAATACCCATGTAAAAACAAAGAAGTTATTTGTAGCAGTTATCTCTGTTAGGATTGCTAAACAAGCGTGCAGACATTGGCCTACCTTGAGTAAAAGGCACTACTCCTTCCCCGTGACTTCTGAAAAGGCATTCAAAATCAATATAAAATTGCAATATTAGGAAATTTTATAATCATTATTTCAAGAAAGCAGACTTGAAAGGGTCTCTTGTTCATGGGTAAATCTTCAGTTAGTTTTTCTAGTACCGGTGTTTCAATCGAAAGATTCGCCAACTGCCCCCTGGAGAAAACTGAAGATCTGCATTTAAATGGAGATATAGTATTTCCAAATGCACGGTACCTGCAAGGCAGATACTGTCAAGGTTTCTTAGTGAGTGGATCTCAAATTGTATTAGGTACATTTCAGTGCCGTAACTATCCCCATTTCCTAAGACTGCGGCTATTTCCATAAAATTTTTTTTCYTGTGTGCATGCTTTGTAATATTTGTCCTGATAAGTCAAAATTAAACCCCCATCCACAACAAAGCCCTCACACAGCAACAAAAAGGAATTACAACCTTATGCATAATTTTCTGATGGGGATGATGAGGACTGTATTAGACGGCCTGACTAAAAATCTTAAATAATTGAAAACTCTGATGACTTAATAGAGTACTAAGCTTGGTTTACAATGCAGCCAATTTAGAGCCATAAAAACACCGTGTAAAATGTTTATCTTGTGGTTGACCATTACATATCCTATTTATTATTCCAAAGTATTTCAACAGCATTTTTCTTCATCTATGTGGCTGCTGGCATTTAGCACCCACTTGCTAAATTCACGTGATTTTCCTGGAACAGCTTTAGGAAAAGAAAACAAAAAATTAGCAGATCACTACAAAACTGTTCCTTGTTACTATATGCCTCCTTTTCACATTCTGATTTGAACTGACTTCATGTGCCACAAAATACGTTCGAAACCGCCGAGGCTAAAATATAATAAATCAAAGCCATATACGTGCAGTTAAAAAGACTGGTGCAACTACTGATCCTGACACATCAGAGAGCCAAAAAAAAAATCAAACCTCATGAATACTTTGTTGCTAATGTACACGAGTTCAAAGAGCAATGTTCCTCTTAGGAAAACATCTTAATTTTCATATCAGAAAATCATCCTAACCWTCCAGAAAAGTTTTTAYGAGTATGCAAGGAAGGCAGAGAGAAGGTTCAGAGCGCAAAAGACACTCGTGATGGGTTTCAGACACGCAGGCATTAGTCCAGGCAGCCTCTCGCTGAAATCCAGGTTGCAATTGAAATGTCCCTGTAAACAAGGTTACTGCGAACGGCCCAAGATATCCTTCTCAGCAACACCTTCACCAGGAGCCCTTCAGCTGTCTACTTAGTTTGTTATACCTTATCTCACAGCCCTGACATCCTAATGCTGATTCAAATTCGGGATTCAAAATGAAAGACGAAATATCTCTAAGATCACTTAATATTGAAATACCATTGCAGTAATAAGTGGTGCCGGGCTGGAGATATGGATATAGTACTCTAGTGGTAACCTTTTAATTTCTGACAAAATACTGTGGAATAACTGTGGTGCTGCACAGTTAATGCAATCGATTTGTTTTCCTTATTTTGATAATGTGCATGCTGAATGTCGTGTTTACCTTCTCCTGCCCCTGGCACATTTTTAAAGTCCTCTAAAAGGAGACCTGCCAGATTCCTGTACAGACATGAAACACCTCACACAACGGAGCCCCCCTCCCCAGCACAYTGAACCATAGCTACCCTGATGCTCTCAAGACAAGGAAGATCATAACCATGAGTTGCTTCGTCATTCTAAGTCTTTGGCTATTTTCAGTGGAAATGCAATGCTTGCACCATGTATAATCTAATGTAGGTTATATTGTAAATTACTCCCATTCTGAAAGTGAGGGGAGGTATGCTACACCAGAACTGTTTGTCCTCTGAAATAAACCAGGGAAGTAACAATGAAAGGTATCAGGCAAGTTTTACATGTTGTATTTTAAACAGGATAGCTACTAAATGCCTAAAACTTTTGTGGGTTTATACAAAGGGCACTCAGATTACCCAGTCACAGACAGTGAAGCGGGAGGGGGGGGGTCATCTGTTTTTCTTTTGTGTGATGTTTACTATCAGACTCTCCTTAATAGTATAAAAAGACAGGATTCCAGGCGGTGGGGGTGGAGTGGGATGGGGGCACAGAATAGGGGAGGGGAAGAATTACAGGAGAGAAACGCAAGCTGCTCAGTGCCTGCCTTCCCACACTACCACKCACCTTCATTTTCATCTCCTTTATATTCTACTCATTTTTACTTGCCTCCCCCATTATTTAGTCATCTCTTAAATGCAGTCCTCTCTTCTCCGGGATCACGAAAAACATATTAACTAGACCCAGTACACCCAGCACTTCAAAATGTACCTCCAGACCAGTCATTTCTTCATGGCACTAATGACCACGAGAAAAATTAAAAATAAAATAATTTTTCCTAAAAAATAATTTTAAAAAGGAAAAAAAAAAAATTCCTCACAGCCAGGTGACATTCAGACCCCACAGGCAGCCGCTTTCCCAAATCCCCCTCCTGCCCACGGCCGGCGCTGGGAGGGCCAAGCGGCCGGAGGAGCGGGCAGTGCGCGGACTTTGCACACTTTCCTTCCTTCGCCCTGCCGATGCCGGGAGCGCGCTGCCTTTGTGTGCGCGCGTCCGCCCGCGGGTCCCGACACCCCGGCACGGGCGGACAGGAGCGCGTCCCGCGTGGGGCGGCCACGCCGCCGCTCCCGCCACCCGGGGCCGGCAGCGGAGCGCCGTGACCCCCGCCCGGCGGGCAGGGCTGCCCCCGGGCCTGCTCCGCTCCCGCACAAGTATTCCAGGAAGGAGCGAACGGCGGGGGAGGGACGGGCACGGGGACGAGAACGGGCCCCCCCGCCGGCCTCGCCCCGCACCGCAGCCGGGACACTTCGGGGCTCCCGRGAGGGCACGGCGGGGGGGGGCAGGGCGACACGGCAGCGCCGCGACAGCCACGCGCGCCCCGGCACCGGCTGGCAGAGTCTGGTCCCCCTGCTCCGCTCGCAGCCGCCGGAGCCACCCCGGGACCCCGGCCCTRAACTCTTGCTGGCTAAAGCCTCGTCACTTTGCCGGCACTCCTGACCCTGGGCGGGAGAGACASACACACACACACAACCTGCGGGGTAGGATGTGTCAGTGGCCAAAAAATCATTCTCCTTCCATTCTTCCCCCCCCCTCCCCCCCCAACACCCGGGCCAGTAATGCTAAATAATTGTCCGAGAGGCGAGAGCTACTGAACCCCGGGCGGCCGGTACTGTCGTGCGG